CCGTAGACATCCAACTTTTACTTGTCAAAATTATTTATTTATAATTAAGTCGACAGACGTTTTTTCAATAATTACTTAGGTGATTAGTAAAAAGCCGTCATTGCCCTAAAACGGAATGAATTTCAAATCCAAATGCCATTCAATGATAACGCCGTATGTACAGTGATGCATCGTAAGTGTCATAATGGAAACAAACGGAAACAGATGTCAAAAGTAAATCTTGGCGGACATAGAAGAAGTGTAAATAATATAAAGATCTTAATTAGATAGTTCCAAACAGGCCTTACTTTTAATTTCATAATTACACTTAACACAACAAAAAACTGTTAAAAACCGCGTGCCTCACTGGCAAGCAACACGCCTGCGTGCACACCTCATATTATTAAGTCGCAATCGTTGTAAATTTCCGATTAAAGTTCCGTTACAAAAGTCGCTGGAGCAGAAATGGAAACAGATTTAAAAAAGCGTGCAACATCAGTTGCGGAAGTAGAAGCAGGAGTCCGTTGCATCACTAATATTGTACTACGACCGTGGAGAGTCCGTGGCGCGCCCTAGAACCGCACGCTTTATAACAGGAAAGAATCGTACGTTCCATGTCATGCCTGTAGCAAAATCCACAGAGCCGCGCTGCCATCGTACACAACCATTGATAGTTTAAGAGTACAATAATGCCACACAAATTAACTTAATTAAATACATCACTCATAGTACAGAACAGTTCAGGTAAAGGCTAAGAAATTGAACTGGAAGAAAGACGCCTTCGTGGTGACCTCGTCGAGACTTATAAAATTCTGATAAGTCAATACAATCTACCAGCAATACAAAACATGTTTAAAAGAAAAGAAAACTTCCAAACCAACCAAAAACCATCACGTGGCCACCATCTCAAATTAGTTCGTGCACCTTTCAAAACACCTGACAATTTTTTCAGAAACAGAGTGGTGCATAATTGGAACATGCTACCGGAAGATGTTGTTTCTGCTGTCTCTGTTAATACCTTCAAAAACAAGCTCGACAACTAGCTACAACAGTGTGAATTAGTGCTAAAAAGTTAACTAAAACAAACGATATAAATTTCAACAGTGTGTGAGGTAGACATACCAGCGAAAGCTGCTCGTCTATAATCAAATAAATAAATAAATAAAATTGCTTGCTTGACCCAATTACAAGGACTTGCTTCACTGCGAAAAAAGCCACTTAGACTATGTTTTATTTTTGCGTCGGGTTTATAAGGAAATCGGTACACTTTGCACGCGGGGATAGTGTAGCCTACGTTACCATATTCTAAGTCTATAGCGTGTTGTGCCTATTGATTTTCGATGCCAAAATTTTTACCTTCTTAGTAGAAGAAATTATTTCGTTAAATTTGCGCGTAATGGTGACAGTCCAAATGATACATTTAAATTTATCGTATTTACAGAATTACAAAATGTACTCCTTTCTAACTATAATCCAATGGTACCGAACACTCAAAAACCCTGATCAATTACGGTAGCGAACACTGTAGAGAGACTGTAGTTTCTGCCATGATTGAGATTATTATTATGTAACTTGTTTCCACCTGAACCGATCAAGCAGAGTGAATGCAGCAACAACTATAGGCAATGAATTTAATCACATCTATTCACTTCAAAACCAATGATGCCCTCTTAATAGGCATACAACGGGCAAGTATATGTGTCAATTAGACGAGACAAAAAGAATCAAAGCTCTACAGACCTTTAATTCTGTTGAAGCTGTCATTAGTGAAATTATATGACCTAGAGATGGCCCGCTGGCCCTGAATAAGCCACCCTATTAAAAATAATATCCGTGCGTTCCTTTGAAAGAGCAAATTCTGGACTACAGTTTTAATAACGACACTTGAAGTCCTAATATAAATTTCATTTGTTAAGCTTACGGCATCGTCTCACGTCGCGTAATCTAATGAGATATTAAGTCTAACATAGTGAATTAATCTAGGAATTATTACGGCAATAAACTATCGACAACGATTCTGTAGTAAAGACGCTGTATTCTGGGAAGCTATTAAGGCTGCTTCGCTAATCTTAAAGTTTAAATTATAATTTGAATACCCAAGATAAAAAACAATGTTCTCCAAATAGTTAACAAAGGCATCTGTGTCGTAAGGAAGCTGAGCCACGCGGCTGTAAGTGGACTGTATTTAGGGTGGTATCGTAATTCTTTTGTCTGTGCTACTTTCGCTAAAATGATATTAAAGTACTCACGCGTTCCTTCCTCCACAACAACGACGGCAGCAGTGTGGGTGTGAATCTTCGATTGGACAGAAAAATGGCACAGTCTTGTTCGTTTATATTATAACGTGATCAGCAACAGAAATAGAAGAGATAAACGGAAATAAATAATTATATCATTTCAAGCAACAGTTGGGTTTTCTTACATCGACACTGACTGCCAACGTCAACTCGACGACGCAACGCAGCCACCTTCGTTCCAGTAAGACGCGGGGCTTTCGATACCATTTTAGATTGAATAACACAGGCAGAATACCGAAGAGCATCATCTGTAAGCTAATAACTTGTTGAGACCAATTTGGCGAGCCCAAATACGATGAGTGTGCAATGAAAGATATAACAACAAATAATCTATTTATACTTGGTGTAGCAACTTTTAATATAATTTATAAGGATATAATCACTATTGAATATAATCGAGTATAATCTATAAGAGATATAAGAACGAAAGACATAATTTCGATGTATATAATAAACCTTCAGTATAACAAACTTTATAGATATAATGATTAGGTAACATTTTTCATTAAAAATAGCTGTAGAAAAAGACTTGCTCTGTTTCGGCTGAAAATTGGCATGTACGGTTGTTTATGGGTGTTTTATAATAATTTGCAGTCAAAATTTACATCTTGCCATTTTTCAATATGGCCGCTACTAAAGAGCTATGTTAATGTTTTAAAACAACGGTCTAGCGGAGGGCGCAGCCCGAAGCGTTTGCACGCCAACGTAGGTAGTATACGGAGGCTCTATAACTAGTATAAGATCCCACAATTGTTCAAAATGTGAGGCATACTTCGCGATGTAGTGGAAATGAGATACTTATAGCGTTGTTGCATCTTCACCGTCTCTCTGTTAGATTCATTTCTCTTGGAAGCTATGCCAAAGAGAAATATTTATGGGAAAAATGCCAGACAATCACACCAAATTTCTGGTCTCAAAGTAGGGGTCCTGTACTGTCAGTACCAGGGCAACGATAACTTTGAGGCCTATATCCAGTATATCCTGACCAAAACCAACTTAAAAATGTTTGTTCCATAAATTGGCTTAAATCGGGAATCGAATCTGAAACCTCCTCACAAGCGCCCATAGTACTAATCGCTGTGCCACCGTAGAGCGTAAGCACACCCCGTAAACGGAACCCGACCCCACCGTAGGTGGGGTATAGGGCTCGTAATGAACTAATAGTATAAGTATTACTGTATAATGCAATAAATAATATAACACATTATATCGTTTTACCAATAGTTGAAGCGCCTAAGTGAATAAATTTGCAAATATCTTCAGGATATCTACTGATTTCGAATCGAAATTTAGTAATGGCGCTTCGCCGGCCTCTGCCGTGACACGCTCGCTTCCCTCGCTCTGCTCGCGCACCGTTGTGGTCGCAGTTCTAACCTTTTTTTTTACCCGGAGAAATGCGTTACTCATACCGCGCGCCCCGGGGAGGCACGGGGTTATGTGGGACTCTCCTCTCTGAGAAGAGAGGCCTACCCACTGAAACTCCGGGGATGTTCCTCCACGCACCTTGTGGCGGGAACGCGGGGATGCTTCCGCATTCTTCCGCGAACCGCACCGGTGGGTTCGCGTCCGTTTGCATGGACCCTCCTAGAGTCCAGGGTGGGAGTAGTTCACCCTGTTCTCCTAGTCGCAGGGGACTGCCTGGAACACTTGGCAGCTCGCTACTGTCGCCAGTGTCCCTTTATGTTGAGCGGCAGCATTCCCAATCCTGACGCCCGAGCACCCCTACGGGGGCGGAAGCAGGTGGGCATAAGCCCGCCTTCTACGCCCCGTTGTCTTCCTGCGGATCGGAGCCGAGAGTGGATCGTCCTCTCGACTACGCTCCGCGCATCGCCTCTCATGACGCTACGTTGGCGACCATAGCCTTGACCACGGCCGGCAGCGAGAGGTCACTTCCCGGTCCCGGTCACTTTCCCTTGCGCCCACGCTTGGCACTCTGCGAGCGTATGGTCAGCAGTGTTCTCACTGCAAGAGTAGTGGTGACATGCCGCCAGTGGCTCTCTACCAACTTTGTGGCTTAGATACCTGCCTAAGCCTCGACAGGATCTGCACCAACCGGTAAGTGAGTGAACTATGCCGCCTGCTTACCCATTCCTTGAGGACGAACTGCCGCCACAGTTCGCTCGCCCGCGATCGGCTCCTCTAGCCGACTTCGCCATTGCGACACAGCACTTTCCGTTGGGCGGATCTCTTCCACCTCATGACCTCCTCGGGGGTCGGTCCTTCTTCCTGGGCTCGTGCGTCTGCGCATCGCCTATACACCTCCGCAAAGACCCCAGCATCGAGGTCCCAGAGAGGCGCACGAGCGAGTACGTACGCCGTTTCGTACGACACGGTGCGGTATGCTCGTATTGCTCGACCGCCATGACCCGCTGTGGCTTACGCAGCTCGGCCTTGTTCGGGCCGGTCAGAGCTCCGACCCACACCGGTGCACCATATAGCGCTATGGACCTTACCACGCTGGAATATAACTGTCCGCAGGTCACATTCGGACCGCCCAGATTAAGTAGGTCTTCCGAGAGCAGATGCGGTCCCGATTAGCTTGGGAGCCAATCGTCGAAAATGCTCCCGGAAGTTCCACCTGCCGTCGAGGTAAAGTCTCAGATATTTCATCTGAGGCTTCACCCCAACGGACACCCCTCCGACATCAATCCTGGCGGGTGCCAGCAGGCGGCCCCCTCCGTGGTCCGTGAAAACACAGAGCCTCGGTTTTCTCAAGGACCACCCTCAGGCCCAGCATTTTGATCCGCCCAACGACCTGCCGAACTCCCGCTGCAGCACGTGCCGCTGCCACCTCAATGTTCTCCCCTCGGGCTGTGACCAGGGTATCGTCCGCGTAGCAGAACACCTGGAGCCCGGAAGGAAAGGCGCCCCGCAGGACCCAATCATATCCGATATTCCACAGGAGCACCCTAAGATCGATCCCTGTGGAACAACGCACCGCATGATCCTACGGCGAATAACGCCATACTGCCCCAGGTATAGGATAGGTCTGTCGCTCAGGTAGACCCCGATGATTCTTTTTAAATAATGAGGCACTCGATGATACCGAAGTGCCTCTGAGATACACCAGAAGGGCAGCGTATTGAACGCGTTGGCAATGTCTAGAGACACTGCCAACAATACGCCACCAGACGCCACGGTTTCATCCGAGAACGCTTTGACGCGCATGATCGCGTCAACGGTTGATCGGCGCTCTCGGAATCCAAACTGGTGATCTGACAGATCGGGGCCTACACTATGAAAGTGGCGGACGATAAGGGAAGCAACGATACGCTCAAAGCGTTTTCCCACATCGTCCAGCAGCACAATGGGGCGGTAGGCAGCCGGAGACTCTGCGGGGCGCCCATCCTTCTTGAGGAGAACCAGTCCTCTCTCCTCCCAACAGATCGGGAATCGACCCTACGTGAGACACAGACCAAGTAGCCCGGTTAGATCGGTCCCCAACTCGTCCAGCACCGAGGTTAAGACTCGACCACGGCACTCACGGCCCTGGAGACGTGCGCTTGACTCGGAGCCTAAGCGCGGCACGGCTAACCTCCACCGACTCTATTGGAGGAACCTCCTCCTCAGCCTCGACCTCCGAATGAGAACCCGCCATTGTTGGAGGAACGTGATCAGGCCTGTCCGGAAACAAAGCCGACACCACGCCCTCCAACAGCTGGGGTTGAAGGGTCTCCGTGAGCGGGGGCGCCTGTGCGTGAAGTTTATTCCTAGCTGCACGGTACGGGCGACCCCACGGATCCCTGTCGAGGGACTCAAGTATCTGCTGGCGGCCGCTAGTTTTTACCGCGCTGATGGCCACCTGCAGAAACTTTCAGGTCTCGGTGTAGAGGCCGTGCAGCATGTCTTCCGTCTCTTCGTTCCGGACCCGCAATCTCCGGTACCTGGTGAACTCTCGCCGCGCAGCAGTGTAGGCGACACTGAGATCGCCAATTTGCTATGTCCACCAGAATAACTCTCGACGCGGAGGACGGCACCTGGCTCGGGGCATCGACGCGTCGCAAATTTGCGTCAGAGCCCCCCGGGATCGGATGGCTCGTTCGTCGGCGTCCTCTGGCCCAGCACTGGACTGTATGGTCCAGGCTTGGACAATGGCGGCTTCGATCATTAGCTCCTTGTCAAGGCGCGCCAGCGATCATCTCGTAAAAGCCTCCGAACCATTCACCCGAGGACGGGCCGAAACTATTCCCGATGATGCAGAGATCTCGAACCGAATGTAGCGATGGTCCGACAAGGTCTCCACGTCGCCGACAACCCGCCAATTCAACACTCGTGATGAGACAGGAGGAGAAGCGAATGGACCCACTATGGACCCACCCCGCCGTCTCACACAAGCAACATAAATGAATATAGTTTTATCTACTTCTTCGATTGTTTCGATTGCTACACTTTGGAAATGAAACTATTCTTTGTACATTGATTTGTTGTATATTCGCGTATAATGGTTTCTTTGACTAATCGGGTTGCGAAATTTAAAGTGGGAGTGAGCTGGCCATGTCGCCTGCAAGAAAGGCTCTTGGTACAAGGCAGTGGTGGTGGAACGAGACACAAGATAAGAGTAGTTAGAAACTGCTCAAAACTGGGAAAGATGGTATAAACTGAAGGAGTTCCGAAAAATGGTTTTATTTCCAATTAATACCTATACATAGTTTTATTAACATGGGTTTATTTGTTATAGAATGTATTATTAGGCTAGGGATTTAGGGTAATCCAGCACGTTTCAAACTTACTTTTTGGCATTTTCATACATCACACACGAAATCAAATACTGTCGTAACTCAAAATTGTGGAATTGGAAAATACGATTAGAAAATAATAAAAAAAACTGAATGAAACCAATATATGTATTCTCGATTACAAATGGACAATGAAACATTATATATAAATAAAAATAATCAAATTATTCGCAATAAGATCCATCCAGTATATTTTTTAATTTTCAAATTATATTTTCTCAATTATGACTGACACCATTTTTTTTATGTGCAACATGTATGGCGGTTTTATGTATTTTCATGCTCTTAGATTAATATCTAAGATGATGATTTATTTTATTAGTAAAGATGCATGGCAGGATGGGAAATCTTATGAATATTACAAAAATATATTGTTTTTCATATCTCTATCAACAAAAAATTGCTTGATCGTGTAAAAATTAAGTAAACAGCGCCATTTTAGCGTGGCAATTGTTAATATAAGTATCTAAAAAAATATATAGTATAATGTGCTTGTAGCACCTGTCGCTGCCAAAATTATATTTCCTTAAACTGCTTATTGTCTAGAATCAAAATATATTTATTTCTTTCGGCTTCTAGCAAAAAATGCTTCTATAAAAATTTATGTCCATGTATGTCCAAATCATTATATATAAATTTATATATATTTTACGCTTACGTAAAACTCAATTCAGTACTGGATAATTTTTCCTTAAAGCGAAATTTTAATAATATTTTTTTTAAGAATACAATGATAATACGGTTTCAAAATTACTTTTTTGCTGAACACTTTTTGCTATCATGGGTACTAGTTGAAATATAATAGGACACAAAGTTGAGCAGATTAGTGACTTTTAAGCTATTTCTGCCCAAAATCGACGAATACGAAATTTCGTATAATTTTTTAAAATTCTTCTTTTGATCTTTGTATTAATAATTATAACAAACTAGTGGAGTAATTTTACAAAAAATAATTGAATATCAATTCAATAAAAAATTAATTATTAAAATTAATTAAATTTTATACATTAAATATACTTATCACAAATTACGATGTAAAAAAATATTTTTTAACGAAAAAGAGGTAACAATACCCAGCTTGCAATCCTGTGGATTCTCACTACCTCATTATCTCGCATATCGTATACATACATGTAATATTATGAAGACTAAAGAAAATTTACTAAATTAGGTAGGTGCTGAAATTGGTGATGCAACGGAAGTGTCATAACTGAAACAGAAACGGAAACAGATGTCAAAAGTAAAATAGTTCCCAATCGGCCTTGTTTTTGGTTTCATAATTTAAGTGCAATTATTACACAACTCAAATAAAATAAAAATATCGCGCGCTCCACCGCCAGTAATCCACAATAGCGCCTGATCTGTCGCAAACGTTGTAAACTTTCGACTAAAGATCCGTTATAAATGTTGCGGAAGCAGAAACGGAAACAGAAGTGAAAAAGCGTGCGGAACTTCTGCACTTGCGGAAGCAGAGGTCTGTTGCATCTCTATTCACTACGGAAAAGTAGCTTTTTTATGAGCATCTTTAACACTATTAAATCATAAATCATTACAAGCTATTAAAACAGATCTTCCTGACCACTTATTTGGTTAAATAATGCATGTTAGAAAAACGTGAATAGCATTTAAATCTATAGGATAGATTTGAGATAAAGCAACCATAAACGCGTGATGGTCTCAAATACGGGGTTTCCACAACACTAAAAAAAACAATGTGAGTGCAATAAACAACATGTCATGTACGATACATTTTCTAAAACACCCCAACACTAGCGGGACCAAATTTAACTTGACGGCCTTCATATTGCGTATAACGTCATATCAATAGAGTATACTCCTAACTCGATCAATATAACGTCCTTGACGGCTAAAATTTTCCCGGTACTTATCTTCGAAGTTCAAATGACGTCAAGCCTCCTCGCCATTTCTGGCTTTATCTCGCAAATGGAATCCAAATAGTCTTTTGTTTGACTATAATTGCCTTTTCTCTTATCCTTTATTGTTTTACGATTAATTGTTTAACAATAATAATTTACGATCTCATAATTTCTATCCCAGTAACTTTGTTTGGACTTTAAAGTTTAAGCCCGTTGGATGTTGAGACTTGTTGAAGTAATACCTGATGATGAATACTTATTGTAAATATTATTATAAGTGTGAGAATATTTGCCTAGAATGTAGAGACCGAAACATGTACAAAAGGTTTCGATATTAGTAATTGAAAACAATACATATTGTAAATTCTACCATAATTATGCTTTTATATTTTGTATTCAGTTTGGCACAAGCTGATGTTTCTACACGGTAACTTTTTTTATAAATCAAGTCGGGAACCTAACCTAACCTACACGCTACTTGTTTCGGTTCTAGCTTTAAAGTGCCTACCACAGTAAAATATATTTTTTATATTGAAATTTCAATCTATCCAACAAAAAAGATTCTAGAAGGAATCGTTACAAGTATCCTCAAAAATTTCCTGACTTAGCAGACGGGCTGGCCATCGCATAAAGCTGCATTCTTAAGCACCGAGATCCTACTGCCTTTTTCTATGACAGTAACTCGTAAATTTTTATACATTCACCAGAGACATACTCTGATTTCTTACAAGTCTAAAATTTCGAATTTATATTATTTAGTAGGACATTATTTTTTTGGATCTAAAACGTGTATATTTGTTTTTTTTTCATTTCCTATGTGTAATCATATCCAATCGCGAAAACTTTGATTAATAATGCAACATAAAGCCACAATAGCATAAAATAAATAAGCAAAAAAACCGTTTACAGGACTACAAATACCTTTACCCTTTTTATTAAATAACTTTAGTAGTAATGGAAGAAGGACAACGGGAAGTTATTACATTTTGTAAATAACATATTTAGATACTGAAAAATATGATATTTTAATTAATAAGCTTACTTTAAGCGCGTCATAGTATGAAAAGTCAATGTAAGGTTAAAGTAATATTGTTTTAAGAGGTTGTGATAGGGCTACCACGACAGGGCGCGACTTGCGGGAGAGCGACATAAAGCACGAAAATAGCAGTATCTCACTTTTATGTCGCTCGCTTTTCTATGCTGAGCTCGTTGTGAAATATTTTGTCCAGGAAAGTACTGCCACCTTAGCCATTTCTTCCGCCAAGCAGTAATGTGAGCATTACTACTTTCCGATTTTGCAATATTAATATGTCTCGGGTGACCCTCAGATCTTTGCGATTTAAAGCACTGAGTGGCACTGCAACTGTTATGTACAGGCGTGTCGTTTACTATCAGGCGCACGACTTGTTCGTGCCGTCACTTGGTATCTTAAAAAAAAACTAATTGTAAGTAATTATATTGTTGTTTCATTATTTACTTTTAATTATCTTTTTTTTTTGTGTTGAATATATATGGTTTAATGGAAATGGTAACCATTTCTGAAAATCTATTACAAACAGCGTAAATTTTATTTCTTTCTTAATCTGTAGGTACGTATATGAACTCTTCATAACGGCTGTGAAATTCGCTCAATAGTTTACAGTTCTTATCAACATTATACCGTACCTTGTGCAACGCTATCGGGGTTTACGTAACGCGTTTGCTACTAATGTTTCCACCGGATATTGCCTCCAAACTTAACCGTAATAAATATAAAATGCTTTTTATGTAACTTTTCGTGGAAATGTTTTTTCATATTTGGAACGTTTTATGTGGTAATAATTTATAAAGTTTTATTTGTTTCCTTCTTCGATAATTTGTGTGGAAGTTTATACAAACTCGGGCTAATAATGTCCCAGTGAATATGTGCGAAACAACCACACCAATTACCTGATCTCAAAGTAGGAAAAAATGTACAATGACTACCGCAGCAACGGAGTTCTGGGGCACTTCCCAGAACACCCAGACCAAAACCAATGTAGAAAAGTTCATTTCCCAAATTGGTCCTACTGGAAATCGAACCCAGAACCTCCGCATCCAGCGCCCACAATGTAAACCGTTAGGCCTACGAGGTTTTCAAACATCAATCTTATTTACAGTCTTATACAGGGTGTAACAAAAAAGGTCAGACAAAGTTCAGTTGGTGACTA